CAAGAAAAGTTCATAAACATTTTACCTGCTTACAATTGAAATTGTGTGCAGTTAAATTAAATGAAAACAATTATTCGCTTTTTATCTTCGGAAAACTGGAAGTAAGGAAGGTAACGGAAGGGAAGGTTAATAAATGAAACATTTCTGCAAAAAACCTCAATCTATTTCACGACGCAGAATAGACTCAAATAGTCAAGACAAGTTCATAAACATTTTACCTGCTTACAATTGAAATTGTGTGCAGTAAAATTAAATTAAATCAAAACAATTATTCACTTTTTATCTTCGGCAAACTGGAAGTAAGGAAGGTAACAGAAGGGAAGGTTAATAAATTAAATATTTCTGCTAAAAACCTCAATCTATTTCACGACGCAGAATAGACTCAAATAGTCAAGAAAAGTTCATAAACATTTTACCTGCTTACATTTGAAATTGTGTGCAGTAAAATAAAATCAAATTAAAACAATTATTCGCTTTTTATCTTCGGAAAACTAGAAGTAAGGAAGGTAATGGAAGGGAAGGTTAATAAATAAAACATTTCTGCTAAAACCTCAATCTATTTCACGACGCAGAATAGACTCAAATAGTCAAGAAAAGTTCATAAACATTTTACCTGCTTACATTTGAAATTTCAATTAAAACAAAACATTTCCTCTGCTATAAAGAATACAGAGGGACAAAAAACAGTCGCAACATATTAAAAAACCTCTTCATATATGTATATACAATACAATTTGTGTTCAATTTACATAACAATATCACATTTTGATTAAAATTTAATGTTTTTGAATGGAGATTTATTTGTATACTTTGATGACCTCGGTGATTGTTGCCCTGCAGATGGGACATTTTCCAGTGTTGTCGTAGATTCCTTGCGTGTTGGCGCACTTATGGCACATGAACATGTGTCCGCATTTGTAGATCGCTGTGTCGATGGGATTATCGCAGCAGAGGGTGCACAGTATCTCGACCGTCGGCTGATTGTGTGCAGCAGGCACGAACGGTACGATCTCGTTGTTCAGCAATATCTTCCTCATGCAATCCTTCGCCGTGTGTCCGAATTCATTGCAGAACGTGCAGAAGACACGCAAACGTGGATTCTTCACGCAATACTTGGCCAAGTGACCGTTGAGTTTGCAGAAATAGCAACGCATGTGAGCAACGTACGCGTGAGGTAAGTGAAAATCCTCTTCGGCTAAAGCCAGATTGATGGCGCATTCGAGTGAGTCCGGCCTGTGCACGTTCAAATATTTCTTCAGCGGTTCTCTCAAACCGTTCGTGAAGACGTTTATGGCCTGAATTTTCAGCATAGACGACAGTTCGCGTAACACTTCCGCCGACTTATCGTAGGTGCACGAATGCAGCAGGTAGTTATAGATGATCGAGAATCTGTTCGCGTACATCGTCACGTTCTCGTTACATGTCTGACTGGAAGATATTAGAATGTACTGCCATTTGCTGATATCTGTCGGGGGCGTAAAAGCCTCTTCCAGTAGTTGCTTTAAATCATCCCAAGTGGAGACGTTGATGTTGCAGATCATCCAATGCAACCTGTCTTTGATTATTTTGAATAGTTCCTCGTGATTCTCCGGTTCAACTTGCGAGAACACCGACTCGCATTGCTCTGTGAACGAATACACTTCGTTCAAGCCCGTTCCTTCGAATTTCCCCACAAGGTATTCAGCATTCTCCAACGACAAGTACTTGATTTCTTGGTAAAAAGTCGCCATAGCTTACTTACTAACGATTTTAGATTACGTACAAAATCTATTATACAATATTTAATCTCCTTCGAAACTTCTCCGATCTCTCTATCCAAATCTAAAGAAAAATTTAACATTATTTTTTTTGTTATCCACTGCGATGATGACATTTTTCAAATAACATACATAAATTCTATTCACAAGAGTTCAAATATGCGACATTTACAGACAAAAAGCATACAACAGTCAACACTTATCTACGACCAGGAGAAACGTATTTTTTTTTATTCAAACATGTTTATTACAATCCGTCGAAAACCAACAACATTCGATTGATTTACTTACAATTCTTGAACGATACCCAGGTTCTCCGACTTACGAGGTGTCTTCGGCAGTTGTTTCTTCCTTCATTCCATCTCAACTATCTCCTTGTACTGCCAATTTGAACACAACACACGTGTCTAAAATAAAATGCAGAAAGCAGAAACTTCTTGCCTCTGAAGATCTACCAATAAATCGTACAAGATCCAATGGGAAGGGGAACAGCTTAAGAAAAAAAAAGGAAAATCATATCTCTTATCACTACAATTTAGTGCTAAAAGTCAAAAAGTAATTCCATTGCATCCCATTGTATTAAAGATTAGGAATGAAGAAGTATTTCGCCGTCTTTGATGGAACAAATTTAAATTGTGCGTATAATTTCGTTATGCAACTAAATTTACTGAAGGCACATAGGCAAACCTGATATCAGGATTATTGTGAAAAAAAACTCTATCATCTACATCTGTTTAAATAATATAATACATTCTGAAGTTTTTGCTTGTGAGCATCGTTAATTGCTGAATTTTGTATATTCAATTACATAAAAAAATAATTTAATTGGACTTTCAATTCAAATTGGACTTTAGACCATGCAACCAATCTTCCTTCGGATAGGCAAGCAAGGAAGCATTGACTATTTTTTGTTTTTTTTTTTTGAAAATTGTTCCATTTCTATACAAGATATTTAACATAGTTGATTTGCGAAATATAGAAAATAGTCAAATTTCTTGTAAAACTTTCACTACATGAAATGTTTGAAGATGAAACGTGTAAAAAGTCTCGTCGCTCAAGGAACAACAAGCCAATTAAAGGTCACCTTGATCGCACAAATATACTTGGAATTTGTGTTGATCGACACCGGTCGCGTATTTGAATTCAGAAATCATCAAATTTAACGTGTATTTACCTTTTACCGATCGTTACCATCTCAGAAAGGTGAGATTATTGAGACTTTCGTCTCTAATCACTGTGATTCCATTTATCTGTTATCACCTAATTGCACTATCAGCAAGACAACTTGTTTAATAATATTGATAGTCACAATCTGGACGATCTATATAAGTATGCATTTGTGTTATGAGTTTTGAACAGCAGACAGTCTTAATTGTTTCAGTCGAGCAGACAGGATGTGTGAGAAGGAAGGTCAAAAGTTTATCGGGAGGGGTACCCATAAGGGTAAAGGGATTGCTGTATTCACAAGCGGTGGTGACTCTCAGGTTAACTCTGTTTTATTTACTTTTAATGAGTATAATTTTATTTCTTGTTGTGTTTAGGGCATGAATGCTGCTGTTAGGGCTGTTGTCCGGATGGGTATTTACTTGGGATGTAAAGTTTACTTTATCAAGGAGGGCTATCAAGGTATCAATTAGAAACAATTCAATGTATTTGAAATTAGATTTATGAATTGCTCTGTGAAATTTTGTAAATTTAATTGCTTTCTTCTTAACAGGTATGGTGGATGGTGGAGAGAATATGGTTGAAGCTAATTGGTCTTCAGTCAGTTGCATCATCCACAAAGGAGGTACCATTATTGGTTCTGCTAGATGTCAAGATTTTAGGTAACATTTGAACATTGCTGGATTGATATATGTTCAATTAGATTAATTGAGATGGATTTTTTTTGTGATTTATTAGGGAGCGTCAAGGTAGATTGAAAGCGGCTAAGAATCTGGTGGATCGTGGTATCACCAATCTGGTGGTCATAGGAGGCGACGGTAGTTTGACTGGAGCTGATCTCTTCAGACAGGAGTGGTCCAGCCTTCTGGATGAGCTTCTGGCGATGAAACAGATCAACGCCGAGCAACGACAAAAGTATCGTTCTTTGCACATCGCCGGAATGGTCGGATCCATTGACAACGACTTCTGCGGAACGGACATGACCATTGGAACGGACAGCGCTTTGCACCGCATCATCGAAGCCATAGATGCCATCGTCTGCACGGCGTACTCTCACCAGAGGACGTTCATCATGGAGGTCATGGGCAGGCATTGCGGGTGAGTCCGAGAATCATCGTCCATCCATTCATTCATCCTTTCGAAATTGTTACTTATGATTTGCCTCACGATTCAGGTATTTGTCGGTTGTTGCCGCTTTAACTAGTGAAGCTGATTTTGTCTTTTGCCCGGAATCGCCGCCGCCTGAGGATTGGCAAAAGCGGCTGTGCGATAAACTGGAGCAGGTATATTAAGTGTTTGCTTTGCTTTGTTTTCATTTCTAATTTCCTATTTAACACTATCCATGCACGAAATAATTAATCAAATAAACTTACGAAAAAGATTAATGATTTTTTTTTTGAATTCTTGCATGGATTAGTTAAATGGGATTTCATTATGCTTTATGTGCGTTTTATTTGATTTGCATTTGAGCCCGAAATTATATATTTAATTTTAATACGCTTTGGTGCGAGAAGAGATTTTCTTCACCTGTGCTAAACTTTTGGGGAAAACATCAAACATCACTTATTGTTATAATTTAATGCATACGTTTTTCTCATTGTGGATATTTGTGTTGGTCTTCGATAAAGAAAATGCGAGATGAAATTGTTGCAGTTACCTGGCATTGGTAGCGGCTGGTGCCAGCGAGGCTGATTATGTTTTTATCCCGGAGGATCCAGCGCCTCTCGATTGGCAAGTAAAAATGTGCAAGAAGTTGAGCCAGGTACATTTTCTCTTACCTATGGATTAAATAAAACGCACATATTTCTTGAAAAAGTATGTGAATTCCGGACTGTCCAATATCATATTCAAGATTGAAACTCAATATTTTTGGAATCGTTTACATTTAAATATTCATTCGTCTCTTGTATTTGGTCAGATCGGAAATTTGTTCGTCTCTTCAATGCTTAATTAAATATTTGATCGGTTGTTAGGAACGTAACTCTGGGCAACGATTGAACATCATCATAGTATCTGAGGGGGCAACGGATAGGAACGGTCAGCCAATAACGGCGGAGCAAGTGAAGAAGGTCATCGTTGATAACTTGAACCAAGATACCAGAGTAACGGTGTTGGGTCACGTGCAAAGAGGTGGAAGTCCATCTGCGTTCGACAGGATTTTGGGCTGCAGGATGGGAGCCGAAGCGGTGATGGCTCTCATGGAGGCCGACGACAACACCGAGCCTTGCGTCGTGACTTTGGATGGGAACCAGGCAATCCGATTACCGTTGATGGAATGCGTCAAGAAAACCAAGGCTGTGGCAGACGTAATAAACTTGAAACATCAAATGAATCAATTGAGTGATCGATTGTTTCGTTTCAGGCCATGCACAGCAAGAACTTCGAACTTGCAGTGGAGCTTCGTGGAAAATCGTTCGCTCGTAATTTGGAGACGTACAAGCTTTTGACGCGTCTGCAACCACCCAACCGCCTGGTTGATTATGTGATCGTTCAGAATAGTTACAATTACGGCGTCGTGTGTGTCGGAGCGCCGGCGTGCGGCATGAACGCAACGGTTCGTTCTTTCGTGAGAAACGCCATCTATAGGGGCGACACCGTCTTCGGAATCAACGATGGAATCGATGGTTTGATCGCCGGTAATCTGAAGAAGTTGGATTGGTCCGATGTGACAGGATGGGTGGCCGCGGGCGGAGCCTATTTGGGAACGAAACGGAATCTACCAGGAACAAGGGTCAATTTGATCGCCAACAAATTAAAGGAGTTCAATATACACGCTCTGCTGATCATTGGTAATTATTTTTGATAATGAAAACATGTGTAAATTGATTGATGCGATGCGCAGGAGGGTTCGAGGCCTATCAGGCAGGATTGCAGCTGACTGAAGGAAAGGAGGAGTTCAAAGAGCTGCGTATTCCCATCGTCGTCATCCCGAGTACCATCAGCAACAACGTCCCTGGAACAGAGTTTTCATTGGGATGCGACACGGCTCTCAACGAGATCACCGAGATTTGCGACAGGATCCGCCAGTCGGCTCAGGGCACGAAGAGGCGTGTCTTTGTGATCGAAACTATGGGCGGGTACTGCGGTTACCTAGCAACACTAGCAGGTGATCATATAACTAATTTAGTTAACTTGTTGTATAATTAACAAAAAAAAAATAACTTCAGGTTTGGCTGGTGGTGCGGACGCTGCGTATATTTTCGAAGAAAAGTTCAGTATTAAGGATTTGCAGCAGGACGTGTATCATATGGCAACGAAGATGAGCGAGGGCGTGCAACGCGGATTGATATTGCGTAACGAGAAGGCTTCGGAGAACTACAACACTGATTTCATATACAGGTTGTATTCGGAGGAGGGTAAGGGTCTGTTCAGCGCCAGGATGAACGTTTTGGGGCACATGCAGCAGGGCGGTTCTCCGACACCCTTCGATCGCAACATGGGCACGAAGATGGCCTCGAAAGCTGTGGAATGGATCGCGGATTGCATCCAGAGGAGCAAGACGGATAAGGGAATCGAAGCGATGTCGGCGGACACCAGCGTCCTTCTCGGCATCGTCCGCAGACAATACAAATTCACTCCGCTTGCCGAATTGAAAGAGGAGACCGATTTCGAGTACGACGCAAACGTGGATATCACTTAAACAACGATGATTCATGTTCTTGATTTTTCAGACACCGCATCGCCAAAGAGCAGTGGTGGCTTAAGCTGAGACCGCTGCTGCGAATTCTCGCCAAACACGATTCCGTTTACGAGGAGGAAGGCGGCATGTACATTTCGGTGGAGGAGAACGCCAGCGAGAATTAGAAGAACCTGAACGTGTTCAATATTATTATTATATATATATATGTAATTGTGATGTATCAAAAGAAATTATTTAGATGTGATTGGTAAATGCAGAAGTGTCTTCTTTGCGTCCTTATCTCTAAACCTCTCAAGACGTCCCTACCCAATGGCGCTTTCTTCTTTTCAGCACTGTAACAAAGTTGCGGATAATGCGTTCTCTGGGTGCGTTTCATGTATTGCTCAGGAACGGTCACGACCATACAGCCGAATACTGAAAATACAATATATATAAAGGACTAAATCTATATCATCAACACTAATAATCAATCACCAGGCGCGGACGACGCCTTCGGAGCCATTACTAAAGTTACGCTTTAAATTTTGACAGATCAAAAAAAGTATAAACTTCTAGATTTTTACGATATTCATAATACAGTCAACCCTCCTATAACGCGGTACTCTCAGAACGCGGTTTCCATATAACGCGGAGCTGAAATTGCGACAGCCCTCCTATAACGCGGTACTCTTACAGCGCGGTTTCCGTTCAACAGCTTCCCATAATGATAATAAATCGTTCTTCAACTCCCCGTGTAATGAAAAACATTAATAAGACCCAATTGCCTGTATTCTGGCGATCTAATAAGAAAGCTTGGATGACTCAAGATTTATTTAAGGATTGGTTTTATAATTGTTTTATCCCGGCAGTGGAAACCTATACGATGGAAAAAAAATTGTATTTCAAAATTTTATTGGTTCTTGATAACGCCGGTTGCCACAACATAGAACTGGATCATTCAAATGTAAAAATTGTCTTCCTTCCTCCTAACTGCACGTCATTAATACAATCTTTGGACCAATGATTCATTCAAACTTTAAAAATGTACTACACACGCCAACTTTTCCAAACCAGATTAGAAAACAGTGAAAATAAAACCCTTACTCAAGTGTGGATGGAATTTTCTATTTTAGATAGTATTAGGCTTGCGCAGAAATTAAACCATCAACGCTTAATTCGTGTTGGAAACCTCTTTTACCTCAAATGGTTCAAGCAATACAACATGATTCTACAATTTCACTTCCAGTTACAGAAATAGTAAACATTGCTTCTCGTTTAAGCGATGAAGAATTTGCAGTAAACCATCAGGATGTAAGAGAACTAGTACTCGGGGAAGAAACTTTAGATGAGGAAGAACTGATGGAATTAATTGATGCATTCACCTCAAATGCATTAGTAAACGAAAATAAGGAAAACGAATGGGTGGCAAATCTCGATTTACAAGATGTGAAAAAAGGGCTAAAGAATTAGAACTTCATTTCATTCAAACTGATCGTTCAGCGGTTAAAAGAGAGTTAAGAAATTGCTTAACTCCCTATAGAAAGGTTTTAGTGGAGTTAGAAAAAAAAGCTACAATCGAAAACCAATGTGAAGATGAACTAAGTGATGAAAACATTTTGCCCATTAAAAGAAGACGAGTTAGGCAACTCATATCTCATTGAGTGTTGAAAGATTACATAATTTTACAAAAGTCTTCATTGTTTTTTGTTGAAAAACAGTCTTTTAGTTTAGTTCTTGTTTCATTTTGTTTTATCAATCCTTATATGAACTCTTCAATTAAATTCAATAAAAATAATTTATAATTTATCTTGTCTTTTGTATTTATTGGTTTCCATATAACGCGGTACGAATGATGTTATTTGTACTAATTCAGAGTTTCTTATAGCGCGGTTTCCATATAACGCGGAAACGCACTCACCGCGTTATAGAAGGGTTGACTAATTCCAAAAGCGTTGCAGCTCGCAAAATTGAATCAATTTCATTAACATTAGTATGAAATAAAGGATAACAAACAAAAATAATTGAACAGAAGAGAGAGAGAGAGAAAGGGAGGATTAACAAAACTTGTAATTTATTTATCAATCTCACGTACAACTGAACATTATTTCACTGGATCTAGAACACAGGATTCACACATCAGGCACTTAACAGTCAAATTCGTAACAAACAACTTTGTAAATAGAAGCCTCAAAACTTCATCATCAATTTATTAAATCTCGACCTGCTTTCTGAACAACCATTAAAGAAAACTGCTTCGCAAAAAGCTTGACCGCTCTCATCAAGAACAACTGTACGTCAATGCAGTACAATCATTAATCGTTAATATTATTATTAATATTAAATTATTCGTTAGAATTTGCTTGTAAATCGTAAGTTTTATTAAAGCTACAAACATTTATGTATATATAATAATAATAACATTTTGTTCTTTTGTATCATTAAATATATAAAATTATTTGGTAAAGTATTTGAATTACATTTCATTCAACGTCCCCATAAAATATCGTTTTGGAATACAAAAAAAAAATCTCCGTGCGCTTCATCACATCCCTTCTTTTTCCCCTAATTTATTCATTGAAACAATCCAAACCATTCTAAATCTTCGAAAAAGAAAAAAACACAATTCTTGTAGACCCAAATATATACTTCATTCGAGATGAACAAAAAAACATTAAGAATATAGTCTTCTTTTGTGTTTAAAATATCGCAAATTCTGCGCAAAGTTTATTTGCAAGTTGTTGCTTTTTTCTTTTCTTTTAACAATCGTTTAAATACAAATAAAATGATTTGTTGTAAATAATAACCTTTGCGCGGAATTTTCGCTGGAAAATGAAAAAGGAACACAAAGTGTAATCAATCATTAAATAATTCTTGTTCAAGCACAGCGCGTTTTTGCTCTTTCTTCTCTTTGAATTTGTCGTCACAAATATGTATATAAATAATATTTCATATTAATAACAAATTATATAAATATAAATATTAAGCTTCAACAGATAGAGAAAAGAAAACTGTGAAGGAGAAAGGTGAAAAACATGAACTAATATAATACATTGAAATGGAAAATAAAATAAATATATAATATATAAAATAATAACATCGATATATAATATAATAAGTAAATAATTAAACAGACAAAAAAATAATAATTAATTGTTATTTGATTGTGTATCATGTGTAAAATAAAATATATCGTAACTTAAACTTAACTAAATCCTCGAAGTTTTAATAAATTGTGTACATTTATAGTATATAATATAATTTTTTTTGTTTTGTTAAATTAATTAGCGCTTCTTTCTTTATTAATTAAGTGTACCTCACTCGAAATGGTTATATCAGCGTTTCAAATCTTCATCTCGTTCCTCCGTCCTACCTTAAAGTAGCTGCAGCTGTGTAAGTGCTGTGTGTTTGCTTAGCCAATCAATATCTGTCGTCTTATAGTATCCTTAGATTCTTATCGGTGTACGGATTCTGGATGTAGGACCTGAAGAAAACGGGAAAAGACATTAATTTTCGTCGGTGATCTTGCACTAAATCAGCGGCCGAAAAAGAAATATTTAGAAGAGAAAAAAAATGCATGCAGGAATAAAGTGAAACGCAAAATTCGTAAAAACTGCAGGAATGAGGACGTGGCCCTCTTCTCTACGTGCAAATCAATAATTAGTGTTAACGAAATCTTAGCATTAGATTTATTGGAATTTAAGTTATTTGGAAATCTCTAAGTCAAAATCTCATTCAATTAATCAATATTATAAATGAAGAATAAACTTTTTCTTTTGTAAAAATTGCGTTTATAAAATAAAAGACGATTTGTTTGTATTGGAAGATGTCTTCATTGGATCGTCGTGAAAGCGATTCTGAAGCAGCGGTAATACAATTAAAACATGAACCGTGTAGTTTCGGCGTTTCATGCATCACCATAAGAAATTTGATGGTAACAAAAAGGAGATAAAAAGAAAACGCACACACAGAGAAAATACACACGGACAAAAAATGTAATAATTCGCACGCTCTAAATGTTTCCTTACCGCATTTTTATTCGCTCAGAACGGGCAGTAGAGACCCATAAAAAGAAACAAACTTATTAGATACGAATGATCGGGGGTGTTGTGATTCGTGAATGTTCGTAGGTGAAGAAGAACAATAATAATAATAAGTTAAGATAGAAAATAATAAAGAGTAAAGGAATAAAAGAAATGTAGACATGGAAATTGTGCAATAAAATATTACAACTTTCACAAAAAAAAAAACAGAACGAACATCTATATATATATATACACACACACAGAGAGTTTTTTTTGTTTGTTTGTTAGAAAAGGGGTTTCTTTGTATATAGGTTATAGAGTGTGGTTCAACTTACTTAAAACGCTTTTCCAATTTCAATTTCAGTGATCAATAATTGAGAAGAAAGAAAAATTGTAAATAAATTTTCATAATAATGTCCAGATCGTTGTGTAAAAAGATATGTATCATCATCGTTATTAAAGTGCACAATTTGTAATTCATATTTATATGAAATGTTTCGGTTATTGGTTCGAGCCAATGTTGATACTTACAACTCTATGTTGTGGATCGTCGACGTCGGGCAGTTGTCGTTCACCTTGACGTGGCAGTGTTTGTGGCATTTCAGAAGGCAATCGCGGCATTCGTAGCCCTGCTTTCCCAGCCTTCTGGCCAAGCTCTTTGCGCAAACCTGACACACAGTTCCTCTGCAAAATTAATAGAAATTTCAAGTTATTGAATAAAGTGGTTGTAGTTGAACGGAAATTGTATGTACCCGACTAAATGTTTCGCGATGAACGTGTGGTCATTGAATATGTGCAGCTTCGTGCCCTTTTTCCTCCACTTGGACTTTTGCGCGAGAGACAGCGGCACCAAATAGTGCTTCTTGATTCCGTTCTCGAGCGTCTCCAGCACCAGAGTACTGGCTTCGTTGATGTACGTCCTCGTCGACGCGCTGCTCATCCCCGAAGCCTCGCTGATGCTGGACCTTCGAGAGTTCTCCAAATCGTTCCTCCCCGGCAAACCCAATCTGTAATCTGCAAACAAAAACGATAAATTAGATTGCGAGAAGACGCGGATGATATTTTGAAACTGACTGTCCTCCGTTCTGGATCGATCGGCCGAGATGGATCTGTTCAACGAGTCATCCCTTCCGTTCAGATCCTCGCCGGGTCCTGCGGACTTCGACCTTCCCTTCGACCGCCCCAGACGTCTCTTGATCGTCCCGAAGAAGTCTCTCCTCTTTCTGGCGCGACCCCGGTAATCCGGAATCTCCCCAGTCAGCTGCGGCTGAAGAGTGTTACCGCCGCTGTGATCACCGTCAGCCGGCTAAAAAACGAGCACAAATCAAAAAAAAAAACACAAACAAACAAAAACGAAAATCTTAAAAATAAAGAAGATGTTATCGAAAGAAGAAATCGTGGACAGATAGATTGAGTGTGTGTAATAACAACAGCTACCTGGGCTCCTCCGTTCACCGCTGGCGCTGGTGGTGTCTCATCACCGTTTTCGCCAACGCTAATACCATTTCCGTTGGTCGTCTCGCTTACAACTGTCGTTTGCTTTTCCGCTTCCGTTTCCGGATGGGATTCGGTTTTCTCTGCGTCGCGCACCGATTCCACCTGCTCCTCCTCATCGTCGACGCAAGGCTTTTCCAAACGCTCGATCTCTTTCCAGGTGCCCTCGCTCAGCTCAACCTGTGTTAGTCGAAACCAAAACGAAACAAAAAAACAAAAACAAACAAAACACTCGCTGCATTAGTATAATCTACATATTAAGGCTAAATAAGCATATTTTTTTTTTTAAAGAAAACAACTTAAATGATCAAGTGAATAATGATTATTCTCAAATAAACAAATGGAAATTGTAAATACCTTGACTAGCCTTTGGGATGGTTGCTGAAAAAGGTAAATTTAAAATTAGGATCTTTACAATAATCATTGAATTTTGTATTTGAAACACTTACTCTTTGAACGCTGTGGACGATTAACGTGTTTTTGTTCATGGCAGGTGATCTGCTAGCTACGCCCATTGCGTGGTTACCATTCATCAGAGACTCTGCAAATGAAAACAATAGTTCTTGTTGTTGCTGTTAATTGTTTGCGTGAAATGCTGACCGTTGTGGATGGCAGTCGTGGGGGACAGATTTCCACTCTTCAACGTTTCTTTGATCTTGTAAGGTTGATGTCCGTCGGTGAGGTTGGGCATGTCGGCGCCTTCGATGAACATGAACTGGAAAAGATCGCAACGATTTTAATTTTCTAGCTATTAGTTTCCATTTGTAAAATGTTTGTTACCTCCACTGTTAAAGTTCCGCTGATCTGATCGCTCTCGTAGGGTCGACTCTGCAACGATATGATCTGTCTCTGAGACGGATTGATCAGCAGTTCTTCGACTCCCACGATGCCCAAGCCCAAGAATTTGTGCGGGCTGACGCCGTGATCGTACACCTCGAACAGCAATTCCGCGGTGTTTGATGTAACATCGCTGCAATAATATTTTGAAATATGTATTGAATTGTATGTAATGATTTCATTGATTAGTACAATAGGAAGTGTTCGTCCCACGCCGGGCAATCGGTGTTCTTCTGCACGTGGGTCTGGTTCTTCTGCGACGGTTCGTCCATTTCGACCACGCAGTAGGGCTCTTTGCAGCCACCGGTCGCCCCAAGTTGCGTCGCCTTCACCACCTTCACCAACAGCCTCTTCTCACGTTCGCCGCCCTCCGAACCACGGATCGGCGTCGAAGTGTAAGCATTTGTCTAAACGAACACATTTCAACAATTATTATAACGAACAATATCGATGATGGATGGATGTTACATACTTGATTATCGTAATGCATCACGTGCGGTCGGCCAGGTGGGTCGACATTCCTCACCAGCCTCGGGCATGATGGATAGGCAGCTAAATTTAAATGCACCTCGGTGCTCCTCAACGCGTTCGCGATTATCTCACTGTAAACAGTACATACATTCAATCTACTTACCACACACATTAATATGCTTCAAAGTAAATGTTTAGCTCGCTGCCAGAGTGTTTACATTCCATTTAATATCGCCGGACGACACATTGTAACCATAAAATAATACGCAAGAACAAAGTTATTTTCAGCTAACTCTCAATATTTGCAAGTTGACCATATCATCGGACTCAGCAGAAAAAAACAACAACAATCTTGGCAGCAACTAACTAGATGCTGTTGTGGACATATCACCAAAGAGATGCTTCCAAATTGACAATCATTCATTCAATAAATCATCATCATCATCACCAAGGAGACACGACGTGATATACGTACGTGATCAATTTTTCAGCTAACTCTCAACATTAGCAAGTTAACCATATCATCGGACTCAGCAGAAAAAACAACAACAATCTTGGCAGCAACTAACTAGATGCTGTTGTGGGCATATCACCAAGGAGATGCGTCCAAATTGACAATCATTCATTCACTAAATCATCATCATCACCAAGGAGACACCACGCGATATACGTACGTGATCAATTCCTGCAGCTAACTCTCAACATTAGCAAGTTGACCATATCACTCAGCAGAAAAAACAACAACAATCTTGGCAGCAACTAACTTGATGCTGTTGTGGACATATCACCAAGAAGATGCTTCCAAATTGACAATCATTCATTCACTAAATCATCATCATCACCAAGGAGACACGACGCGATATACGTACGTGATCAATTCCTGCAGCTGCGTCTCGTCCAGGTTGTTCTTGATGTTACCCACCGGCGCGAGACCGATCTTGACTTCCGGCCATCCGTCGCATTTGACGTCCGCCTGCAGTTTCTCCGACACGCAGAAGATGTTGAGGCGAGCGCGGAATCTGTTCAGGTTCACTCTGTAGTGCGACGTCTCCATTTTCTCTCCCTTCAGCCGGAAACATTTCAATTGGAAAGCGGGCGTCGCTTCGCAATCGCACGTTATGGTCTGCAAAAAAAAAAATGGAACAATTGTACAATTCAATTCAATTCGTTTTTATGTTTCTTTTTTTGTTGTTGTTTACTATTTATTTTGTTCTCTTCCGTTGTCACTTTCATAACCGATCACACAATAGCGAACGAAAGTTACGCAAAACATTCCCATTTCCCACAAATCTCGTCATTTGCTGCTAATAAAGCTGCAACTAATTGGAGAATAAAAAGTTTTACGTATTGTGCAAGCTTTATTGTATGCGGTTTTTCAACTCTAACAACGAATCGCAAAACATGCACAAGATACTCTTCAATGAATATACACTCATCCTATTCCCTACTTATTTAGCTTTCATTTACAAAAGATACAATTATTTCATTATTGTCGAGATGTAGATGAAAATATAACTTTATGTAAGATTAAAATTTAGCTTATTTGAAATTGCGTCCTCATTACTCTCTGATTTCATTTCATTCCTTAAAGTTCAATTTTGACCGCTCCGATTTTCTAATGTCGCAACCAAAATAAGAATCGAGGACACAGCCATATGCTACACATACGAAATTACAAACTAAAAATATTGAATTCGCAGTGAAGAATCTAAACAAAATTAACTTAAAGTCACGACGAACGGAGAGAGAACGTTACCTCCTTCAACTTATTATATCATCGAATAATTTTCTGAAAATACCGCATTCTTTTTTGGCGCGAAGCGCGCATTGTTTTTGGCCGAATAATCGCGATTACGTAACCGACGGTAAACAAAGGTCATCGGAGTCGAGTCGAATATCAGTCGAATCACAAAGCCACAAACACACAATAGCTACAAGAAACGTTTCAATTGAATCTAAATAAACGGTTTATGATGTAATCTCGATGATCTAATTCGAGAAAGGAAATCCTTGTAACCAAATTTATAAAAAAAAAATATAAAATAAATAAATGTGTAAATGTTTATGCCATTCATTATTTTTTTTTTTTGATTTGGGTTAAATGTCAGTAATCTGCGTTCGTTACACACGAAAATAGAATGTGAAACGAGACGAGAAGAGTAGATGTTTTTTCTCGAAAGAAAAGATGTGAAATAATCGATGGAAACCCAAACAAAACACATACACAAACGAAAAGAACTGGCGTGTCCTAATTTAAGGAATGACCAGTGTTGCATGCTAAGTCTGTTTGTGCTATCTCTTTTAGTAGGCGCAATTAGCATAATCATTGACCTGTAAACCGATTACGGCATTGCCTATTTATAGGAATGTCATCATCATCATCGTCGTCGTCTTCATCAACATAAACATAATGATGATCATCTGCTTACCACGTCGTCGTTTGTCGCGCATTCCGAGAAGACGTTGGTCAACGATGGCGGATGAGTCTCCGGCAGGATCCGAACGAATTCGACCCCGATGCCCTCCTGCAAAAGAAATTAGAAACATTAGAGAAATAACTCGTTTAATTTCGCGCACATGTTTTTCGAACGTATTCGTCGATACCTTGGGTTTAAGGGTCACGGTCACAACGCCAATGTAGTTAATAGTAATAATGTATAGGATCCATTAAAAGCTCAATTCGTTTGATTTGTTTTTTTGCATGCGATGCACGCAATTAACAGAAAGGACAAAGAGGAATTTGTTTATATTCAGTTGCGTCGCACGATCCAAACAAGTTTTAATATTGAAATTGAATGCACTTGTCGTGCAAACGAAATGCCCTTTGGAATTTGCACACGTTCATGCAAACGCACAGAGAGAAAATCGACGTGTTTCAATTGTGTTCATTAAAAGCTTCGCAATCAAAGTAAATTGTTTATGTTTAACCCATTTTATAATTAATTATATGACATTGAATACAAACAAACCGTAATTAGACTCGTTAATTAATATAATTATCATCAAAAATTACGTAAATTCGTGTCTTGTTAAATTAAGAAAATACAAATTTCTAATCAAATTAAATAGAAAATGTTTTTATAGTTAATCAGTGATATTCTAAGAATTTATAAATTAGATAAAATTTGATGTTTAGAGTTACACAAATAATCATAAATTTATTTTTCTAAAACTCATTTTTTATAATAAATTGATAAAGATTTGTAAATTAGATAAGTGAAATTCATCAAAGAATTACATAAAAATGATAACTTTAGATTCCTAAGAGCAGAAATTCACAGTTGAAGTCTCAAAAAGTCATCCAAAAATTTTCTTAAATGCGTTTTTCTCAAATAGAGGAAATAATCAATGTAAATTGATTTAAACCCATAAAATCATCAAAAATTGTATGAATATTTATATTTTTGTCAAATCTAGAAAGTAAATTGTAGATTTCAGCATAATTATATTTGATTAAGAATTAAAAAGGAATAATTGATGAGTCTAAGTAATTAATAAATAAATACGTTGAAACAAATGTGGAATTGAAGCAAAATACATTGCAACTTTACAATACAATTAAATGCACTTAGCACTTGTCGTGCGCAAACAAATAATAAATATCCTTGAAAGTGCATATTTCAATTGTATAACAATCAATTGTAATGCGTTGGGTATCGAGGTTTAAATGATTCATAAATTTATATATCAATCTCTTGACGAGTTCATCAATTATTTGAAAATATCTTATAAAGTACTAATTCATTGTTATATTTAGACTTATTCGAGATGTTTCATTTGCTAATTAGCTCAGTTAACTGAGATAAATAAAATTCCATCATTTCGCCTGTCGAAATCAAGAGGTCGAGCAAAGAATTCCGAAGCCGAAGACCGTAAATTGCGCTCAATTAGAGCGGGTCCGAGACGAATTCGTAAAAGAACTAAGTGTAACATACTTTCATATCAAGTTTAATAAATGCGAAGAGAGCAGCAGCAGCAGCACCTTTGGACAATGATGAATCATTGCTGACGCGACGCAACGAGAAGAAATAGAAAAAGTTAATTAACCAATTAAATTGCGAACGGTGCAATTATAAATCAATCAGCATGTTCACGGTTTTTAATGTAAAGCTAAATGTGCTGTTAGTGGTAGAATTGTTAGCGGAAATCTTTTCTTTCCGCCACGCTCCGAAAGATTAACAATTATAGAAAGAAAGAGCACCGTAATAATGCAGTTATTTTTCTCGAACTGCAACGGATAAAATCTGTTAATCAATTTAAGATTATTTCATCTTAGTTCGTGAATCGCACGATATTAATAGGCGATTGCATAATTACAACTATAGTCAAACACTCATTTTGTTCGCTATATATTTAACTGTAATATGCATCTTTAACATTAATCATAACGTACTTTGATATTGAAATATACACGAAAATGTAAATACGTTTGACTTCAACTTTGACAGCGAATTGCAAAAAATCTACATGAGATATAATTATACCCAAATACACATTTTATACCCTATATATTTAACTTCAATATACATCTTTAATATTAATCAGGACATTCTTTGTTATTGAAATATACATACAAATTTGAAGACACTGCGATTAAGATTACTTTAACTTTAACAGCGAATTTCAAGAAATCTACATGAGATACAATTATGCCCAAACACCTATTTTATTCCCTATATATTTATCTTCAATATACACCTTTAATATTAATCAGGACATTCTTTGTTATTGAAATATACATGAAAATATGAAGACACTGCTATTAAGATTTCTTTAACTTTGACAGCGAATTGCAAAAAATATACATGAGATACAATTATGCCCAAACACTTATTTTATTCCCTGTATATTTAACTTCAATATATACCTTTAATATTAATCAGGACATTCTTTGTTATTGAAATATTCATGAAAATTTGAAGACACTGCGATTAAGTTTACTTTAACTTTGACAGCAAATTTCAAGAAATCTACATGAGATACAATTATACCCAAATACTCATTTTATTCCCTATATATTTAACTTCAATATACATCTTTAATATTAATCAGGACATTCTTTGTTATTGAAATATTCATGAAAATATGAAGACACTGCGATTAAGTTTACTTTAACTTTGACAAAGAATTTCAAGAAATCTACATAAGGTACAATTATGTCCAAACACCTATTTTATTCTCTATATATTTAACTTCAATATACACCTTTAATATTAATCAGGACATTCTTTGTTATTGAAATATACATGAAAATTTGAAGACACTGCGATTAAGATTACTTTAACTTTGACAGCGAATTGCAAAAAAACTACATGAGATACAATTATGCTAAAACACTTATTTTATTCCCTATACATTTAGCTTTCATACGCTCATATAATATTAATAATAGCATTTACGGTTGTCGAGATACAGATGAAAATATAAAGACGCGCCTCATCAAAAATTACGTATAAAATCTAAAATCTAAAAAATAATAATTAATCATTTTGAAATCTGTTAATTAAATTTAGGTTATTTCATCTTAGTTACTTTTCGTTCGTGAATCACAGGATATTAATAGGCGATTGCATAATTACTCTTCGTTTCGTCGGTCAACGCTTCCATACACTTTGATCTAGATTCCTTCTTTTTTTCTTTGTTTTGTTTTATATAAACGAGCGCTCTTGATCGGAGTCGAGAAGAATGCTTAGCAGCAAAGAATAATAATTAAAAAAAGAACGAAGATAGTTTAAACGTGAGTTTTGTAATATACAAACACGCACAAAGACGCACACACACACACAAAAAAAATGGATAATATAATGAGTGTGTACGGTGTAATAAGTTTCCTGTGTATATTTAGAAAATGTAACCTTCGGATTTGAAATTAACTTGCGCTGTGTAGAATTTTTTTTTACAAACAACTCGTAACACATTTAAATAAAAAAAAAGCAGACACAACAGAGAATTTAAATTTCAAATGCGTTCCATCTGGTTACGTAATTTATCGTTAAATTTGCATAAAAACGTAATTTTTATATCACCACGTGACAGCTGTCACCTTACTGTCAATGAGTCAGAAGGTGTTATAAACAAACAAATATGTTGAGAAAAGATATTTCCATATTCAAATCATCGTTTTTGGTATAATTGTAGTTATGATATTGAGTGTTGATAATTATTTCACATCAATTCATATATTCGAAAACACGGAGAGAGAGAGAGAGAGAAATGTGTATAACAAAAGTGCGAAGGTTAGGTTTTTCGGAACCTTCAAAAACATCGTTGTCGTCTTTGAAAGCGATTTATTCTTAGCCTACTTACGACATAATGTGGCTAAAAATAAGTGTCTGTATAATTAGTTCTAAGCAGTAATTGAATTCGCTTTAAATCAAAATCTTAGCTATGTAATCAAGAAACGTCACATGTAGGTATCAATAAGTTTCATTCATAGATTATTACCACGATTATAATTAGTTTATTCGCGCGGTTACAAAATTGCTTCTGGTGATTATCTAAAAATAACACAATTACAACTATTGTTTTGTTTTTCTTATTGTACAGCCAACTAGTTTTGCAATTCATTCATAAATTCATTAACATATTGTTTACTCAAAACTTTATTAATCAATTAACTTTTTATTTTTTATAGCTTTCACGTTGTTGATTCTAATTACAATCGAGTGAAACTTATTGATGATTTATCGACGATCTGGAAACCATCCACACTTCATTAAATACTATTTATAGACGATGTTAATTTTCTTATGAAGCAAAAATTTCCAGCATTTCACAAAATTACTCAAATTTGCAAAAATATCAATCGATTTTATAGAATTTCTTTGAATTACCAATAAAAATAAGATGATTTGAAATATTTCCAAATTTTCACCAATTCAAATCTTTTCAATTTTATAGATTAATTTTGATTGATTTACAAATAAATTGAATAGAATTTCTTAAATTTTCATCAGTTTCAATAGATTTTATAGAATTTCTTTAAATTACCAATGAAAAATGAGATGATTTGAAATATTTCCAAATTTTCACCAGTTTCAATTTTATAGAACAATTTTGATTGATTTACCAATAAATTCAATACAATTTCTCAAATTTTCACCAATTTCAGTCAATTTTATAGAATTTCTTTGAATTACCAATAAAAATGATATTTCCAAATTTTCACCATTTCCAATCTTTTCAATTTTATGGAATAATTTTGATTGATTTCCCAATGAATTGAATAGAATTTCTCAAATTTCACCAATTTCAATCGATTTTATAGAACAATTTTGATGTAATTACCAATAAATTTTCATAACAACTTTAATTGTATTACCAGAAAAAAAAACATAAGATTTAGAGTATTTTAAGATTGAAATCTAATGAAATTATCTAACAAGCAAGCTTTTAAAACATTTCCACTTTTGTAATGCGTTCAAAGTCGCATTGTTAACGATTTCATGGAAAGAATTATATATTAAAAAAAATACGCATAAACTTGCTTAATTACTGCCATTCATCAAACGTTACCTATTACAAATTTTAATTTAAATATTACGAAATGAATCACTTAGCAAAGAAAACTCACTCATTTAGATAAAGATTTCGACGAATACATAAACTGATGCAAACGTAGGGTTTTCATGAGAACATTGTACATTTTATAGCTATTAAAATAATAGTTTTATCATATCAAGGTCTAATTGTTTTGAAAGCGGAATTAATGATAAATTTACGTAATTCCATCATGTGAAGATAGAGAATGTGGAGCAGCAAAATGAATGATTCGTTTGCAACGTGGATTCGAGTTAATTAATCTTCGAAATGAATGGGACATATTGTAGCAATGATTTATTTAATTCCGTGATAACGCGGATGGCCTCTGTTGACATTCTACCATTGTCGGGAATTAAACAATTCGTCCATTGATAATTGTTGTGAATACAAGAAGTTTAATTAATAAGATGAATTAATCAATTTTAAATTGCTTTTGAAAGTTAGACAATGTTTTTTGGTAATAATACTTGAATAACTAACAGATGAACATAACTATTTACTATAGTGTATAATAAGTGTTAAACAGTGAGTTTTGTCCATTGATGATTGTGGTAAACGCAAGAAATGTAAGAGATAACATGGTCAAATTTTGTGTTAATGAAAGTCAAACAACGAGTGTTGTTACCAATACTCAAATTAACATAATTCTTCGTTACATTAACAAGTGTTAAACAAATCATATTAACATAATATAATGGCTGTAATCAATTAAAAGATCTTGTAATGAAAGCAAATTAAGATTTTAAAGAATCTCTTTCAATTATCAACAAAAATGAGATGGAATCAAATATTTCCAAGTTTTTACAATGTTTGTTGGTAATAATACTTGAATTACTGAAAGATGAACATAATTATTTACTATAGTGTTTAATAAGTGTTATATAGTGAGTTTTGTCCATTGATAATTGTGGTAAACGCATGAAATATAAGACATAATATAGTCAAATTTTGTGTTAATGAAAGTCAAACAACAAGTGTTGCTGCCAATACTCAAATTAACATAATTCTTCGTTACATTAACAAGTGTTAAGCAAATCATATTAACATAATAGAATTGCTGTAATAAAATAAGATCTTGTACTGAATGCAAATTCAAATTTTATAGAATTTCTTTCAATTATCAACAAAAATGAGATGAATTCAAATATTTCCAAGTCTTTACAATGTTTGTTAAACAGTGAGTTTTGTCCATTGATGATTGTGGTAAACGCAAGAAATATAAGAGATAATATGGTCAAATTTTGTGTTAATGAAACAAGTGTTAAGCAAATCATATTAACATTATACAATGGCTGTAATCAATTAAGATCTTGTAATCAGTGCAAATTAAGATTTTTTTTCGTAACTCGGATTTGTTAAAACGATAAACATCAAAATAAACTGTGACACAATAACGCGTTTCGTTTCCCATGTGTTTTTCGCGTTATCATTATGATTTATCTTTTGTAGAAAAATTTAAAAATGTAGCAACAGAACAGCGCATTTATCTAGTAATAATGCATGTACGTTTTCGAACATGCAATCACGATAATAATTGCGTCGACCTCACTCGACAATCCACACAATCTCTTAATTACTATACATTGCTAAAAGATTTGCATTCGATTTATCTTTGCAATTTGCACTGACATTTTGCTTGTATTCTCTTCTCTCTTTTCAACATCTTTCCCATGACTCATGCCCGAGTTTCCTTTTAATTTAATTAATTAATAAACGGCTAATGAAGCAGAAATGGTTTTTCTGTCTTCTTCGGATCGTCAATGCAATTACGATACGAGATCGTTCGAGCAACATTTATCCTATTAGCAATAACCTGCAGTTTACTTAATGCTATCTCTCTGTGTGTGTACTTTATTCCAACGATAACATCGTAAATTAATCATCTTTCATTATAAACGTGATTGCTTTGTGTCTTGAATCACACTGGAATTCCTCAATTACTAATTTGCGAAATTAGTCAATGAAACGTAATTTCAATTTTATTATCTAATTCTCATTCCTTTTTACTACTTTCGTTAATTGATTATTGCATGCGTTAATCATCTTTCTATCAAATTACAAGAATCGGATCGCACGAATCCAATTTTCAACGTTGAGAACAAAATTAAGAAATTGAATGTTGTCAATGAGAAAATTTAGGGTAATAAGGAAGAAACTTGAGAAAATAATGAATTTCTATGCGGTCTTTGATGAATGTTCAACATTTCGGACAAAATTAAAAGAAATATACAGTGGAACCTCGTTTAACGAGTTTAATCCGTTCCAAAATAATGTGTTCCATAATATGTGTACACAAGTTGTAGGGGAAGTTTTCTTCTCATCTTCACTCGTCATGCGAAACGTCGCTCGTTAAGCGAGTCGTTTTTCTTTCAATTCGTTTTGCTCGTTATACGAGGTGCTCTTTGAGCGAGATTCCACCGTAGTTTAATTTTCATTAATTTTGTAAACTTTCCATGAATTGTTTCGAAACTGTAACGTCAGTTTCCTTATTACAAGGAAGAAAATTGCAAAAAAATTCACTCGAGGAAATGATGTAGCATCATCAAATTTGATTAATTTTCAACGCTCCGAACAAACGAAAGCATTTAATTAGGCATCATTTCCTGACTTTCACCCTAACTAACTAAGTGTAAATAAATTAATAAAACCACAAGTTTATTTATGTAGATAAAGATATTTGTTTGTGATTAGTCATTCGGTTTTCCGGTCGCTTTGATCACACACAATTGTTATTATTTTAACTGAATTTTGCGTTGGAAATTAATGTCTTGAGTAAATCAATGTGTAAATGCGTAAAAGTAGTGAATGGAATTGGTGGTATAAGTTAAGAATTACCGAAAATACATGTGTGTGAGGTTTGTGGAATTCGAAGCGTTTTTCTTCGTTCTAAAAATATGCGAAGAAGACAGGAGTCATCATCCCGTGCAACTGACCCAGCGCGTATCCGCTGCAATTGAGTTAGGTAATTAACTCTATTTATAGATGATATCCTTCCTATGTAGTGTGCGTAAAAATAACGGCCGCGACAAATAGACACTCTAACACACACAAACATCAAGTTTAAGGTGCGTTCGGTTGCGTCACCTTCAATTTCGCTCTCGTTCTAATTAAAAACAGAAAGAACCTCCGCCCCTGTTTCTACAGTTAACACACTTCGGCGGCTCCTCTTCGACTCGATTTAGAGCAGACAATTATATTTGAATAACCTTCATTTACACTAATCAAAGACACGAATATGAGTAAATTCGTTATTCTATTAGGAAAATGTTATATTATCACATTCAACTCAAGTGAATTGCAAATTAACATTTTAATTACTAACATTTAAACCAATTTTTAATTAAAGTGTGCGTAAAGATCCTATTTACACATTTGTTTTCTCTAATTAGATTAGAGTTTAATTACTTGGAAAATGTATTTATATATAATTACTAAATGTAAATTATAAAATACATTTATTATTACTAGATTAACTAAAATAGCTAGATTAAAAGAATAATAAATTCTTGCAGTTTATAGTCAGGTTTATCTAAGATCGGGTTTAAATGTAAAACTATGTTCACTCGTTAAGAAAAGTTTATAATGTTTTTGATATATAATTGTGAAATTTAAACATAAAATTTAGTATTCAAATTAAAATTTTCAGAGACTTTTGATGAATTCCATAATTTTTCAATTAACTTTAGAATTTAGTCTGTTTGCTTAATTATTTCCAAAGTTTTGACTTAGTATTGGAAAACTGATGATAAATTATCATATTTACTCCAATATTGTAATTGAAATTGAAGTGATAGACCTATTTCTTGTTAATTTATTTTTATGAAGAAAAAAAAAGTCTTGTGTCTCACCTCAGCGACGGATTTCTTGCAGAAAGCGTTGAGATTAGAGTTTAATTACTTGGAAAATGTATTTATATATAAATACTAAATGTAAATTATAAAATACATTTATTATAACTAGATTAAATCTTCTTTTAGTGATTGTATTATGATACATTCATGTAAACTTTTCTTAAAAGTTTTATGAAAATTGCAATCCGTTTACGTTTCACAGAGATGAAAGTTTGAGGAGATGCGAGCTCGAAAAGAATAATAAATTCTTGAAGTTTATAGTCAGGTTTATCCTTGGCTTAAATCAAGATTTCTAACACTTTTTTCTCCGGCTTTAGATGGATTAAGTAATTGCATCAATAACGTTTCAATTAAGTCAAAGAAAGAAGAAAAAACATAGACAAATCAGTACATTTTTACCTAGTTCACTATTTAACTAATAAGTCATAATAATCAAGATTTATCTAAGATCGGGTTTAAATGTAAAACTATGTTCACTCGTTAAGAAAAGT